ACACACACACACACACAAACACAACATAAACTAGAATGCTACACAACTGTAAACAGACAATACATACCTGCCAAATATTTGACTAAGATAAGAAACAGCAAAAAGAAACTGACCCTGGCGAAGTACAGGCTCATTGACCACATTCTGGCCATTGAAACTGGGCGACACAGGCAGACCTGTCTGTCCAGAGAGGACAGGCTGTGTTCCCACTGCCAGCCAAGAGAAACAGAGACAGAGATACACTTCCTACTGCACTGCGACAAATATTCTGGGATTAGAGAAGCATTCTTCCAAATTTACAAATCTAATCCCAGAATTCCCACACCTGCCAGAATTACAGCAACTCCCAATCCTACAGAGTGTTGAGGCAGGGTGCCTCTGAACCAAGGCCAATGAGAAGAACTTGTAACATGAGGCCAAAGTCAGACCATATACAGTAATTCTATTTATCAGGATTAGCTTCAGTAAATATATATATATGTTTTTATCAAACTAATGTGGAAGTATTGCAGATAGCAGGCATGTATTGCAACAGGACCAGAAGTGAAATATAAATTCTGCATTACTTCTGGGCAGAAAGGACTGTGCCAGAATCCAGAACTGTTTAAAAAAAACAAACAAGATGTTTACTTGTTCTATTGTAGTAATTCATTTTAATTCAATACATTTGTAATTCAAAGAGAAGCTTGGTAACCAGCCTTCGCTACAGCCTCACTGCCTAGTGCTCTCTCCCTGTGTCCTCTGCAGGCGGGAGGCTCATCAGCGCTCAGAATGCTGGAAGACCCTCCCAGCCTCCTGCGCTGGCCTTTGGCATGGAGTTTACGGGGCAGGACAGGGTGCTGTGCCAGCTGTCTGCAGGCACTCCTCGGGGGCATAGTGGTGACAGTGTGACACCAGCCCACAGGCCCTGGTCTAGGCAAGCTTCCCACAGCGCGGGGGCGAGCTCCTCCCACAGCTGCCCTCTAGACACCCCGATGGCTGGCAAGAAGCTGGAAGGTCAGCCCTTTCCTTCCTTTGTACTGGCCGTGAGGATATTCTTTCTCCCAGGTTTCACCAGAGTGGTTGGAAATCAAGTAAATTATCTCATTTCAGTAGTGAGATGTTCTGCTCCAGCTGGGTTCTGTGTTTGTCATCTCTTTTCTCTTACTTTCCACGTGGTGTGAACCCAGATTTCACATTCTGTCTGTTTGCTCTACAAGAAAATACATTGTTTTAAACAACCCAAAATGCATGTTATATATGTTAGGATTAGCTGTTACACACACTAACATGGAGTAGATTAATACTGGATGGTAATATGTTTAAGTTTGCTTTACATTTTAATCAGTCATCAATCATTTTATATTTATTTGCTATTTCATAATAATTTCTAATCAAATTCTAATCAGTTTTCAATACATGAAGATCAGTGACAGAACATTGCCTGTGCCTATCCTACCAGAAAAAAACTAGTACTATATCAATAAACTAAGTACTTGAAGCAAGAAAGCAAAACAAAACAAAGTGCCAGATTGACATTGCATATCACTCTTTGAATCTGAAGAGAGAAAAAGAACAGCCTGTAATTTGCCAGAAATTAATGCAAATGGTTTGTTTAGTGACATAATTTATTATTTAGTCATTCTGAATTTATCCGGCATCAATCCCAACAAATAATAATAACTACAAAAATCCTTATGGAGCATAAAGTTCTGCTGACCTCTTCTTCCTTCAATTTTTCTTTCCTAAATGTATTCGCAAATTTGCTTATTTGTACCATATGAGCTCCTTTTGTGGGTTTCTGGACCTATCTGTCCAGCCATGCGGTGAAAACAGATTCTCTGGGATGCTATACAGTAAATGACTGGACTGTATCCTTGGACAAGATACTAGCAACCAGATATAGGAATAGCAGAGTAGGCTGAAAGGTCACCTTTCATTTGTACCATTTCTTTTATTCTTATTATTACAACTTTTTGATGAAGCAGAATTCACATAATTCCCTCAAATCACATATCCTCCACAGGCTTCCTTCATGGGTCTCCGGGCTAGGGGTCATTGCTGTGATCAGTCCGTGTCCCATGAGTACTTTGTCTTTCCTCAAAGGCGATGCAGCAGTGCTTTTGGAGAACGCCTCAGCCCCTGGGGTCCCCGTGGCCTTCCGCTCCCGGGAGGACCATGCAGCCAGCCCGGAGCGCCTGGATCTGGATGGGTAAGGCCAGCCGGGGGCCATGCACTAGTGGGAAACAGCAATTCACACACTGGCAGAGCTGGGACTGTATTCGCTTCAATACGTTTTAGAGAGAATTCCTCTGTGTTTCCACTTGTTGAATAGCGAAGATGAGATCTGCTCATTCCAGTGTGTCTGCAGGCAAAAGTTTAGTAAAAGTCAGAAATCCATTGAGAAGCTACCAGTTTTTTTCTACTTTCCTGGTCTACCCAGTCATCGTGACCTTCCTGGATTCCACTGTGAAAATGTAAGGGGGATTTGTGGGTGTAAAAAGGCCCTGGTAAATCATTTGGTACATTTAGTCACTTCATAAAACTCAGGTAATTTGTTCTACCATAGGTTTTATGAATAAAAATAAATGTCCTCTGTACAGGAGGACAACAGTGTAAAAATAATATTTTCTTTAGTTTGCTGGACATACATAACCCTGTTGATATCCAGAGAAATGAGAATCAGTCCCCATGATGTACTGTAGACTGACTGTGGACACATTTGTGTGCTGTTGACAAACAGTCCCGTGTATTAATAGTAGATTGCCTTCTTTATTTCATCCTCTCAGAAGAACAGTAAACTGACTTTTTCGTGCAGTTCGGTGACCTAGGTTATACTTTTGGGGTACGTTGCATAATACTGAAATAAATCTCACAAATGTTTTCTTTGATTTAGTCACAGTAAGATAGTTCACTCTGGAAATCACTGCCCTGACTGTTGGAAAGCAAGAAACTGGAGCCGTTCCGGCCAAGATTTTGCTTTTGCAGTTTGTTTTTGACAACATGCTCTCCTTCCTACTCAATGTTTTCAGTGCCAATTACATTTCCAACAGCTTGCCCACAGCTGAAGCAGAGTGGGGCGCTGGTAGCTCATGTATCACAGACACACATCTGCTCTCTCTGCCTCCCTTAATGTGGTGCTTTTTCTTTAACCATAGTGCTATTTGTCCTCAGGGAACTTCCCTTTGTGGTCAGAGATTTCTTGGAGGTCATCCTGTTACTTCTGTGTTGCAGCCTGAGTAAAACTGATCTACATCTATCTTGACTCCTCTTTCTGTATTATCCTGACTGTGCCCTGTTTTATGGTTGCTTGAGATGTGCTTACAGTAAGTGTTATTGTGAGAATCGCACTCCTTTGCATTTTTGCACAACCATCTAACTGCTGAAATTAAGACCCTTATTTTATTTCATACACATTAAATTCAGTTTTTTTTTAATCTTTTAGAAATATCGAATTAAAGGTCCTATGGGTGTTTTATGGGTGTGGGTATTTCTGTGCTTTCTTGGTGGAATGGAATTATTTATAGGTGACCAAGCCACTTGGCTCCCACGAACTGACACTGACTCTGAGCTGGTCATTTAAGCAAAGGCTCCGCCTTTTCAGGATCATACTTTCTATTATGAATGCCACTGTATGTTGAATGTGGAAGGTTTTGTTATTATTATTAATTATCAACATCACTGTCCATATCTGCACGTTTAAACACAGAGTGTAAAAGTAACAGACAACTCTCCAAGAGTCAGGTAATTTCAAAACACAGTAAGAAACAACCATTTCATTTTTTCCTCCACTCCACTTCCTTACAGTCACGATATATTGGAATTAAGGTGTTGCAAAGTAGGATGTTCCATAAATTCAATTAAAGGCTTCACATGGTATAAACAAGATCTTGTTTCTCACATTCATTTTGCGAAGAGCTGATTCCAACAATCCAGTGAGGTTGAAAGAGAGGCAAGGCTTTTTAAAATGATTTTATTAAAAGTGGTCGTATTTTATGAAAAATTGTTCGTTTGGAATACCAAGTTTGAACTGGAGAGGGTGCTCAAAGCCAGCTGATTGCAGTCACCGGCTGACTAACCTAATACTCATGACCACATGAACCACATCAGGACTGATTTAATTCATGAGTGATAATAAATAAATGAAATGCAAGACAGTTATCACCATATAGCCAAAACCCCCAGCATATTTAAGTTATATATGCATGTCATTAAAGTATCATAAAAACATCATTATCTAAAGTATTTTGCTTTAGATCCTTTATATCCAAGATCCTTCTTATCCTAAAATTTTATAACACTATTGTCTCTTCTAGAGCAATGTAGGACATTGAAGTGCCAAGAATTTAAATGCCAATAAAATGTATTATTTTCTTGTTTTATTTTCACTGTTTTAAGAGTCCCACATGTTTCTTCACTGTTGTTATGCTTCCTCTTATGTGCACAGCAAATATACCTCAGTACTTATAAGGTCCTTTCTCTATCCTGAGTAAGAAGAATGCCATGAATATGGGGAATATATTTGTGCTGCGAAATGTTTGTGATCTTACTTGTTAGTGTGTGCTAACTTATTAAGACCTGTCAGAAGGAACTGAATAAGGCCTAGTTCTTCTCAGTTAGGAAAAATGTTCATCCCTTTAGGGACAGAACAAAGTAACTGCATGCAGTCTTAAGAGTCTTGATTAATATTCCTTTACTGGGTTCAGGTAAACACAGCTGTCACAGTTGTTTTCATTTTCATGACAAAAAAGAAGGTTTGTGGTTCTTTTAAGTCACAGTGGCGTCCATGCATGAGCCAGCACGTGTGTGTTTGCCTGCTGATGTGCACTCACTTCAGCTTGACTGTCTCCAGAATGATTGCTAAGACATTCTGGAGGGGTAAGATGATACACAAGAATAACAGATCTGTAAACAACCGTAAATAAATGGAAACAGTAATTATACTGTTAGAAGTAAAAAAAAAGGCACAAAAACGTTCTTTTGGAAGCATGCGGTTCACTAGTATTTTGTTTGCAATGTATCAGCATGTGCTCAAGAAACAAGTTGCAGATGTACTGGAAACAGGCAGGTTTCAGGCCGACTGCAATTACCTGTCTGGTGCCTCCTCTCTCTCCCTGCAACAGGCGCCATTTACAGGTCTGCCCCCTGCTGGAAGGGGAAGAGAGGCTCCGGCTGCTCAACTTCCAGCACAATCAGATCTCACGCATCCAGCAGCTGTCCCACCTGCGCCGCCTCATCTTCCTGGACCTGTACGACAACCGCATTGGGGAGATCTCCGGGCTCTCGGCTCTCACTTCCCTGCGTGTGCTCATGCTGGGCAAGAACAGGTACACTATTCCGATAAACACAATGTCCGGCTCTTTATAGACCGTGTTCATAAAAAATTAGGCGCATTACGTGTACAATTCAGTTTTCGTTTCTTCCTGTTTTTTCAGATTTATGGAAGTTTTTGACAGCCTGATGGCAACATTATAGATGCGTGGTTATTTTTCAAAAAGGCAAATAATTTTCTCAACATATTCCATTGCCATGAAGTGTATTACAGCAACATCTATCACTGTCTCTACTATATGATTCTCACAGGACATCAGGGCTGACATCATGTAGTAAGAAAAGAGAAGTTGGTTAATTCAGTCAACCCTGATGCCCAGAACAGACAGGATCTCTGTTCACCGGCAAGACGTTTGTTCTTGCTGGTGACAAAGGCTTTCTCATCATACATCGTGTGCCTTGATCTTGCTGTGCTGACAGAATGACCCTTTCTGTGGCAACCTTATCAACATTCCTTTTCACCAGCTGCATTCCCTGCAGAGTCACAACACAGAGGATGAGCTCCTCGGACCAGTTATGTACTGGTAACCAAGGCTAGGCAGGCCAAATGGTCCCTTTTATTTGCCAGTTGTTGCTATTGAAAGGTGCTGTTTCCCTTTTACAACACTTGCCATATCTCCACCCCTACCTTTAGACTGTATGAGACTCCCACAGCATCCTACTTTAGGAAAGGAGACCGGGGGACTATTAACTGCACAAATCCTAAAAAAATGCAGTGCTGCTGGCATCCTTTTTGTAAAGTCTGGTTTTATTCCAGATCTATAAAACATGACATTTTGTTTTTAAAAATATGCACCAGAACACTTGATGTTTATAAAGAACTCAAGGACGGTAACATAATTCCAGTCACATTCCAGACAAAGAACGGGAACGCATTGAAATTGTATGAATACATGACAGGAAAACGCCTTTACATTGTTCAGTTCAGTTTGGAGGTATCTTGGAAAACCTATTTTTCACCAGAGAATAGATCTAATTGAAACCTTGTTACTTGGTAATCTGTAGCTTAATTTTGATGGGTCTAATACTTTGTTTAATATATTAGTAAAAGTTTAATGCAAAGCAATGTTTTAAGTATTTGCAAAACAAAAGAACAATATACTGTACAGGTATGCTTTCCCTCACCTAACAACTTTGATCAATATATAGCTCTAATTACCTAACCATTTTGATCTACAGTATATTAGTTTTAGCCTGAAAGCATCAGCATATAAATCCTTTTACTGTGTTACAAGAGCTGTAATACTCAGACAATTCAGCTTCAATAAATTGGTTACCACTTAAATGAACTACTTCTTGGGATAATCATGCATTTTGGCTCTAGGTAATACAGTCTATAAAGCTTTTATTAAAGGTTCTTCATTTTTTTCACCAGAACTCATATGGTAACACACAATTAACTTTGCTTCCCAGCGGTTAGAACTGGTATCAGCCTCTTTGATGTTTGATTTAATCAAAGTATGAGCTGTCTATCGGAGTAGACAGAACTGAGTAATAAGTCTAGGAAACATTGTGGACCTATTGTCGGGACAGCTCATCTTGTGTTCAGAGAGACAATAGTCTACTAGGGTGCTTTCTGTAGATCTTACAGCTGGTGAAGATCAAGTACTCAAGGAGGCAGAGAGAGAGGTCTTTCATTTCTGGAGTTTTAACATCTCAAAATGTTAATTTCTTTCAGATAAAATAAGGAATTATAAAATATGTGAATGAACTAATATGTTCAACATTTTTAATTCTTCAAGATATTATCAAATATAGGGTACCACAATAACCATTTTGAAGAAGACATCTGTTTTATCAATACCCTGCTGGTCTGCAGGATTTAGTCTCTTATCTGTCCATCTATTTGTCTGCATCACATTAAGAAACAGTGTGCTTTCCTGATTTATTCTGACACCAATTTATCATTCTGTGCAGAAACAGCAATTTCGAATATTACGTTCACTGCTAAAAGCATTCCAATGGTCTTACTGCAAAAAACAAAAATATAGCTATGCCTGACGCTTTTACAGACTTAGGTTTTTACTACAGTTTGCTGTGTGTTTCTCATTACCGACCTATGGTATAAAATATAGTCACACCTGGGAATCATAACCTGTTGATATATGTTCACTGCTTTTCAAAAGTCTTTCACATTTCGCATTTTTTTCTCTTTCTCCTCAGTGTTTTCATACTTTATGCAGGAACAGTCTATCTATTGAAATTTTAGCCATTATGTTTTAAACTAATTTAATCCTGATAAATGTATTTTATAGTTCATAAAGTAGTTTATTGCTTTAGCTTTATTGCCATATATGGATGTGAACAAGGAACCCCTGACAAAGAGTCAGTTAGATTGAATTAGTATACTTGAGGAATCAGCTGCTCCAACACTTTATTTTGGCTGTCCATGTATACTTTTTCTTGATTTAATTTGATCAAGTATTAAAAGATTACGATACACGTGAGTTAAAGATTGCCACATCTTGGATCCTTCTCTTCCAAACTACGACGAGTTAGTAACAGTGAAAGTTGTTGTATAAGAATGACACATGGAGTGAAATGCTGGTCATGTGCATTGACATGTTTATTCATCATTAGTGCTGTCTGCTCTGATCATCTCCCTTCTCGTTTCTTGCCATCATGGATAGAAAATTGCTTTCATGATGGGATCAGAGATAAGCTCACTGGTTCAGACAAGTGGTGCTTGGAGAGGCCATTGAGTAAGAGCGACAATGTCTCCCTGGTTCTCTTCAGAAAAATAAAACAATGGCAGCAGAAGCATGACGACATCTTTTCGATGAGACCTTGCTGTCTATCATGAGTGTGGTGAGGCTGACAGAAGCCTGCTGGTTCTCTGTGACAGAGCTGTAGGTCAGTCTAGGGCTTCAATGATCATCTTCATTCCTGTCTTGTCCCTGTTTTTGACCCACTCCTTTTCAGAGATGTCCACCATTTGTCTTACTGTCTTACTCAAGGAGTATTCACAGCACGCTTGTGTTTGAAGCTGTTTCCCACTGCAACACATTACCCACAATTCCAACCTGTGATGAGTTTTAACTGGAGTGCTAAGTTTTCATTACAAGTTCATATTTATTAATACAGTTAATACATATTAATGTGTAATAAGTCAATTACTATCCAACCAGGACATAAAAAATAGCATTAAAATTTTGAATATGATCTATTGTTACCTCACATGAATTAATTGTTTGAACTAATTAATTCATATTTTGAGATAACTATTCAGATTATTCTTTGACATTTATTATATAATATTTAATGTTTAGGAACACCCCGTATACAATAACAAATAACTTGAATAGTGAATTAAATAATTTTCATAATATATATTTCTTTCAATATTATTCTTTCTGGAGAAGTATATGTGAATCAGCAGACTATAGTGTACAGTGCATAAGTTGCTATCAAAAAGAAGGAAACACATTTTATATACGTCCTTAATTAAAATTGACGTGTATTGTTATTATGAGTGTGACGAGCTGCAGAAAGACTTGCTCAAGTCTCAAGCATTCCCAATTCCTGCACACATTTCATGCTACCTCAGATCATCTTCACCCTTTTTTGACTTCCATTTCTTTTCTCTAATAGTGGATGGAGAATGATTAATAGAGAGTTTAACATTTTAAATTAAAAAGCAATTAGATGTTTTCATCATCGACATCCTGAAAAGTGTATGATCTTGATAAGTTTGGAGTTCACTGTACTTATTTTTAAGCCATTGTAGATTTGTATTTCAGGGTTGTCTTCTGATCTTGCTCCAACAGCGGTGCTCTCAAGTGTACAGTAGCTCATGAAACTGAAGCTTTTACACAAAACTTGGTGAAAGCAACAGATGACACAATAATAGATTTGGAAACTAAATATAATATATTTTTTTCAGAATAACAAGAATCAGCAATTTAGAAAACCTGACAAAACTGGATGTGTTGGATCTGCATGGTAATCAGGTACAGTACTGTGCTTTGATACCCAACCATTTACACTCAAGCAATTACTTTATGCTTGACTTTAAACAGACACAAAATAGACCACTAATAGAGAAACACTTTCAAAAGTAAATAACAATGATCCACACTTGTTTTTATACAGTACATATATGACTGTTTCACCATCAAATTCAGATTAAAAATGCCTAGATATGACTATTACAGTATATTGTCAGCTGGTGAGCAGAGGTCTCAGATGGGTTTTATAATCAGGTAACTGGCTAATAATCTGCTGACGGATTTGGTTTAACCTGAAACATCAAGAGAGAAGAGCACTGATACTTATAACATGGAAGAACTGAATCAAGTCAGGAAAATACACAAAAACATTGAATTGTTTCCATAGCAGTAACCCAAGTTAGCCTAAGGGGAGTCATAATACTTAGTGATCACAGACTCATAAGATATAACTCAACATTTCAACAGTTATCCAAAGCACACGAGTGGCCTGTCCATCAAGAGAGTGCTGTTGAAATGTTGCGGCTGTACCTGAAGTGTGTGTATCTTCCAGGAAACCCACCAATTTACATGGAAGTGTTTCTTCGATCAGAGTGCATTCGGAGAATCCACAGGACACTCATTCAACCCCACAAATATCTTTATCCACTGCCATAAAAATAGCATTCTAGCTCTCATTTCTTACTGCTGTCATTACTGAGTATTAATTTATTCTCATCGTTATTATCATTTAGTTACTTATAAGGGTTTTTTTCAGGGTGACTTATAATTCTTATAGTACTGTACTTTACTTAAAGTATTCAGACCCTTCCTATGGTGTCGTATTTTCTCAAATTACAATATTATGCATACACATTTTTTAAGCTTAATATTGTATTCAAAAAACTGAAACTGAAAACTGAAAACTTCTAAAGGTAAGATAAGTTACATTAATTGTCAGCAAAAAGTAAAGAGAAAAACTGAAGTATGTTGTTTGCATAGATATTGAGATCATTGAACAAGTATTTGGTGGAAGTATCGTGGCAGCAGTTACATTTGCAAGTCTTTTATGGGTAAGTCTGTACCAACTACTTACCATCTTCTTTCTGGCACATTTGCTCAAGCTTTGTCAGGTTGCCTGGGGATCAATTATGGACAGCAGTGTTTAGGTCTTTCCACAGTTTTTCCATTGGATTCAAGTGAGGGCTAATTTAATTAAGGGTTAAGGTTTAATTTAGGGTTGTCACACCAAAGGGTTTGCATACTTATAATGACTTATCCATTTGTCCATATAAAGTATCTGTGTAAATCTTTTGTTTTTTGTTTTGAAAGTATGGAGTAGGTTGTGTTTATAACAAATATTAATTGCTACTTCAAAGTGTCATTGAAACTTTAAAGCAATAAATTGTAAAAACTGTACAAGGGTCTTAATTCTTTAGCAAGACATGTACACGTAACATTGGAATGTTTGAAGTTGGAAAGAGTGAAGTTTTTGACAAACAAGGAGGCGACTGAAGGAGAAGTATTGTAGCTGTGGGAGAGAAAAGGAGATCAGTCTTGGAGGCAGTGCATCCTGGAGGTGATGGCAATGAGAAAGGGAGTGATACAGAAGGAGAACGGAGTACCAGAGGGGGGGAAAGAGGACAGTTTTTGACCATTGTCAGCATAAAACGATGCAAAGAAAGACAACAGAGGGCCCAGGGTGTAGAGAAAGGACAGGAGGTCAGTAGGGCATCCACGTTGGAGCCATGAGGGAACTGGCAGGGAGTAAGTAGACCTGGTTTGATTGATCAGGGGGGTAGGAGGAAAAGCAGTTGTGAGCAGTGCTATGAGTTCCTGTCAGCAAATTGTTGACAGTTTGTAATAGTATTTTATGACCATTGATAGTTGACACCCACCTCTCATGTCAGTTAGGCACATGTAATAGCCCGTAAAGTGACTTAGAGTTAGGAAACCAAGCTACAGTAAGCCATTAAATCTAATTGACATTCTGTAGCTGTATACATTTCTGTTAAAATGTGAAAGATATCTTTAGTGGCCACATTATCTAGACACAGAACAATTAAATACTAGCTTAACAGCAGTTAGCACTGGAAGTTTCAATTAAAGTACAGAAGAATGTGTCCTTGCCTCAAATAAAAACTGCTGAACTGTTTAAATTTAATATTTACAGTAGGTTCATGAGATTAAGCCCCAACCCTTTTAAAAGATTTTAATTTAACCAAGAGAATATTTCTTCAAGTTTCACAAAAACAGGTATTTACTTAAAGATAACCAGTCCTATATTTTTCTTGCAATAAATAATCTTAAGGCATATTTTAAATTGATAAGATGATATGATTTCTCTGCCAGAGTAGCCCTAAACCTTTGGTTTTAATTCAGAAGAAATTAGGATTTTGTACATAGTGTCTTGGAATTAGCACTCGTTTGAAAAGGCGGAGTTTGACTAACAGCCTACATGCACTTATTATTTTTGACAGGCGTTGACCAGAGGCAGTTCATGTTAATTCAGGCAGTTTGCGTTGTTATGACTAACTGTGGAGCAGTGCTACAGCAGCCAAGCCAAAGACAGTGTGTGGTCTGTGGGACTTATTAATACCCAACATATTTAGAGGTTTTGTAAAAGATTCATGAAAATATCACTGTCTCAAAGGTTGTAGATTTACAGAAATCTCAGAATAGTTTATTAGTAAATTACTTCATTACTAAAGACCCCCAATCAGGACTTTCTGACCCTGGTTTCTGTGATCCTAGTATCCAGTTGAGCTTTCAATAAATCATACCATACTAACTCATAATTTACTTAATTAGAACTTTTAATTGATCTTAGCTTTTAAACAGCTGGAGATTCCAAGTAGTGTGCCGTTATAGGTCTCATGAAATATGCAACCTTTTTGAACAATAACATAATTGAAAAAAAGACAGATTAGACAAACTGTGAGCTGATGAGGGTACAGTTAGAATTCAAAAGGTACTAGATCAGACAAAGAACCACATCTAGGAATCACTACAAATCACAGGAATGGATCATGTGCGTGAGTAAGCATGCCAGTTTATATATGTTAACAGTAACCACTCTATTCTGTAGTAGTTCTGGTAGCCTGTGCCAATTGTTAGCTTTCCCCTGTTTTTTATGCATTTTTGGAGATCAATTTACAATGATTAAGAGATATAATAAATTCCAGAACCTCAACACTGTGTTCAACATTTTAAGAGTAAACAGTCTTACCCTTAAAGTGGCATCCATGTCGTCACATTTGGTAGGTGTTTCCAGTCAGCTACAATGCACTGTGTATCATTTCATTTCCAGAGGGCCACTGAGACAGCATGTCTTAAATGCCATGTGAAGCCGTTAGCCTGGCGATGGGATGCCTCTCTGTTGTTGGGAGAGACTGCAGCTGGTACTTTAACTCCATTGCTGTCTTTCTGATTTGTTTGGTGAAAAGGGGTTATCTATCTTTGAAGTTGTCACAGGATGGACATTCATTTATAGCTGAGTATTCCCCAGAACATGCAACTGAAAATATAAAAAAAATAGACCTGAATTAATAAAGCACACTCATATGATTTCTCTGCTTGTCCAAATAGACTATAAAAATACTGGTGTTAAAGTATCAGAATTTAGACTTTTTCTGTAGAACAGTCACTTGAAATGTGACTTTTGAACTTTGGTGCCTTTATGTTTAATTTTTGTGGTACTTGACCTAGATGAATTTTCCCACTTCAATTTTCAGACCTAGATGAAATCTGCACGTAGTCCACTCACTTCCTGGGTAAAGAGATTAGGTTTTGTAAATCTTTCAGAGTAAAACAAATTTGCGTTGATTCTGATGACTCTTTCTTGCACTCCATGCCGAGCAGATTAGAAGAGGAGTGTGAATGTGAGCTTTATTGGACATTCCCTACAACAGATACGGACAGAATGTGGTCACTTGATCTTCAAAGTCATTTGCACAGGGGGGAGTATGGTCCGGCTGCAGATAACAGCTCCGACTGTGTTATCCTTTATTTTGTTGGCAGGACATGTAAAAAACCATGTCTACTCCACTTAAAAAGTGACTTTAAAATTAAAAGTCCCATTCATTTTATGTAATCAGATTTACATCTCCAGCTGTTGCCTTTCTTGCCAAAGGTCCGTGAATAGCTCCTCTGAATAAGGTTCCCCTCTTTCCCAATAGGCCGTCTTAGTACACTTATGTGTTATACAAGGTATGTAATTCAGTATTCTCACATGTGTAGGCAGTTTTCATTTTGCTTACAAATGTTACATTACATAAAATACAATACGCTGTTTTGTATTTTCCTGTCTATACAAAGTGCTGCCCACTCTCTCATAGCAGCCATTAGATCTTACCTTCTCTTGGTGCTGTAGGCACTGTCCTGTGCTCACCGTCACACTACCTCCCAAGCTCTCTGCTGTGATCGTTAGACCACACTCTCTCACCTCCTGACAGCACTGTTTCACTGGAGAAACTCACTAACCATTCAGTCCCTCAAATCTAAATGTTAGGCTCCCTGCAATTTCTTACATCCCATCACAGAATAGCACTGTACCCCTTGAGTTTTCTCCATGATTCACAACGTTCAAGATCCACTGTCCAGAAACGCAATCAAAGCTGTCCTTGCTCTAGGCCCACAGGTGGCAGCAGAGCTTAGGACAGCTTTCTGTCTCTGTTGGATCTACATTGGTTAAGCAAATCCTGGAGATGAAAAAATGAAGAAAAATGC